CAGGAACTGAGTGTTTTGTAATCTTTATTTATAAGAATTGTTATTTCAAATTTTTGTAATGTTAAAGACCTAACAGATTAATATTATGTTTACTTGTATTAAATGTTACCTTTTTATTGATTTGTTTATTTTATATATAAGTAAAATGTGGGTTGCGGGTGTGGTATAGATATACAAGTACCCAACGGGTATGGAAATGAAGATTAAAATTAATACCCATATAGGTATGAAGTTAAATACAAGTATTATTTTTAAACGTGAGTGTAGATACGTATACTGTAGAACCCTACCCATTGTCATCTCTATTATGCACACACATACATATATACATACAAATACATATATATATATATATATATATATATATATATTAATTACATAAATAGGTCATGTGCCAATCCCTCCTCTATCACTTATGTCAAAATCAACTAATAATCAATTAAGGGATGAACTAAAGTTAGTAATTTAAAAGATTAGAAAACATAATTCACACAATTATCAGCGAAAAAAAACCAAAATTACAATTTAATTTAAATTTGTTATCACTACATTAATAATTCTATGATTTAAATACATCAAATTACAGTCAGTCAATAGATCTAATTCAGTTGATTAAACAACATTCTTGAATTGTTATAAAACTTTTAGTATCGAATTCAATTCTTATAGATAAAAAAATAAATAAATAAAAATTCTAGTTACAAAAAAGTTTGATTCATAATAACTGATTTTGTTTTAAGAATACACTAGTGTTCATGAATATAAAAAAATATATATAATTTAATAAATATTTAAGAACTATTTTAGTTGACATTATGTTAAAGGACAAATTGAATTAAATTTCTTTTTATATATTGATTTTGAAATGTTAAAAATATTTAATTATCAAATTTTGATCAATAGAGTTAATAAAAAAATTAGATAAAATTTGATAAATTATATATTAAGTAAAATATTTAATATAAGTTCTACTTAAAATCTTGAATTCCTTTGTCATAGTTTTGCACCAAAAAAGATAAAGGTAATAAGGGTGCAAGAAAATAAGTAATGGGAATTAAATTTTTACTACATATGATGGCATATCTAGGAGAATGATAGATGATTTTTCCTTAAACTTGTTTCAATACTCCTTGGACCTTCCTTGAGTGAATTTGAACATGAAAATATAAGAGAAACAGAGGTTGAGACACAGCAAATTCTGAAGTTGAAAGCACCTAAGCCAAAGGAGCAAAGAATTGCTCACAAAGGTGCTAATTCTTAAAAGTATTCTAGGAACTCTAGAATTTTCTAAGCTATTTTGGACTTTCAAGAGGAAAGAACTCAGCTAAAGCTAAATGATGCTATGTATAATAATATCAAAAGTGGATACAATGTGTGAAGAAAAGCCTAATTTATAGGCAAGGAAAGGTGGATTTTGGTGCCACTCACCAAGAATGAATATTGGCACAATGGTTTGAATTCAAATGAAATTTGAATTTCAAACCCTTTTGGCAGCCACTTGCACTCCCATATGAAGACCAAATCTCATTTAGAATGCACTTAGGGTTAATTTCATGTGTTTTGGGGCTGATCATGTACAACCAACTTTAAACTAGTACATGTGCTCCAAATGTATCTAAAATAGCACTTAAATGTAATCTAACTTAGCTAACTTTGCCTTATTAAGCTTCTCCTTTCAAATCCTACTCTAATGGCCTAAATACAATGACCAAAATGTCTTAAACACTAGAAAATAATAAAAAGGAATAAAATAAGTCCTATATTGGGTACCAAAATACCCAAGGCCCATTAAGCCCAAAACATACCTAATAAGCTTAAGGCCCAAAAATCATAATTTATGTAGCCCAAAAATATAACACCAAAATGTATGAAACATATATGAATATAATTAGTATAATATCTACAAATAGTGTCTCTCATAGTGTGGCCCAAGTGAAGAATAACTTGGGCCATCAAGCCCATTGGACCCACTGAACTTTGATCTAGTCAAATCTTTATGTATCCTTCTAGTCATAGCTCTGGTAGTTGGACCCTTGGTCCATGCTATTCCATCAGCATATGTATTATGTATAACTCAAATTTAAATATGTTTCGAGTTTTTATATATGAATTTTGATTTTAATTCAATAATTTTTTTTTTACTTTTCTAAAATTTGAAATTGATATTTTTAATTAGATATAAAAGCATAACTATCTTCCCTATCTAGATCATACTTTTTATCTTTTTTAAAATGCATTAAATGTTCAAAGAAAATAATATGGTCCTATTCAACTTGAATAGAATCATCTTTAACAAAAAAATCCACATAGCATTTATCAAAATAAATTATTCAATTTTTATTTTGTAATGCTCAATACTAATTTTAATTTGAAATAATCACTTAATTCTTTCTATTTAGTAGAAACTTTTATTATCTCTAATTATTTTTTTAAAATTTCTTTAACATATTTAAATAGTTGTCTTTGTAATTTGTAAAATTCACATATTCTCATTTTCCTTACCAAGATATTTGGAGAAAAGAGAGAAAAATGTTAAACTGAAAAAGAATGAACTCGATTTCAAAAAAAAGGTAAAATTAATATAATTTTTCTATTGAGCCAATTAAAGATGAGAATAGATCAAACCTTAAACAGGAACCTATGGTCTGATTTCTTTAAAGTTTGACCTAACCTAACCTATTTAATAAAAGATCCGATTTAGAATTTAAAAAAACCTATTTATTTAAAAAGACTGGACTTAAGTTTATAAAAAAATTAATATATATATATATAATTAAAA